TGTTTTTTATTGGGGGACAGTGGATATGGTGTCAGTAAATATATGATGACACCACTCTCACATCCAACCACTGCTGCAGAGCGGTTGTACAATGAGTCGCAAATACGTACTAGAAACTGTATAGAAAGATGTTTTGGCGTATGGAAGCGTCGATTTCCAGTGCTATCAATTGGAATAAGACTTTCTCAGGACACGACCATGGCGGTTATTATCGCCTGTGGAATTTTGCATAATATAGCTCGGCAGAACAAAGATGCAGACCCGCCTGAAGAAGAACACTGTAACGTTGGAGATCCCAATGAAAATTTAATGGAGGCGTATGATCCTATACCCGAAACACAGGGCGGTGCTTTTATGAGGTCGAGCTTAATAAGAGATTATTTTGGAAGGTCAGTTTACATGTCACGTCATTCAGTTAGGATTAAAAAAAATTGTTGGCTTTATTTCAGATTATAATGATATATATGTTGGAACCATTATCCGCAATCTGTAATTGGGAACGCTAAATCTGCATGTTTCAATAATAAAAGGTTTGCTCAGAAAATAATTTTCTCGCTCCCTGTTGACAAAATAGGCTCCCTTAGCAAGGCACTGTGTGTGGTGCGTGTAAGAGTGCAACCTTTCGTAAGGGAGTGTCAAATCTCTAATTCCACTAGTGAGTAAACTTTTCATAATTGTATCATGGGGTCGAAGCACATTTGCCCATCGGTATTAACTAATCCTCGATTGTATTTGTCTAACAACAATAAAAAAACTCCGCAAGTGTGAATACCTACATCGATAACAGTGCAGTATTCGGTTTCCAGACTCTCCTAATAAACCGAAGCATACATAAGTGAGGACAACCATGGAGTCCAATACTCACGCCATCTATAAAATTGTAGCATTTTGTAAAGTATGCTAACATGTAAACTGAATTTAAATTCGTTCAGGTAAAATAAAACCTACATATTTATTAAGTCCCGAAATCATAGACTTTTAAAATAGTTTTACAGATAGACGACCAGTTGGCAACGTTAACGATTCAACCGACCGAGTACGCAAAGCAATAGGAACGCGGATAACATAAGTAGGTATGCGGATTTGTTGTTGCCTAATAATGGTGAATGCGGCAGTTGTGCCTGAAGCGCCAGTGGTTTCTCCACAAAAATGCCTACCACAAACTAAGTAAGGACTAGTTACCAAACTGCTCTCGACATGATGCCACTACGTTCACGATCCCAGGCCCATTAAATGTTAGGACTTTTCGGTACAACGGTGTATGCGGTATGTGTTTAGATGTGCCTAGGGTTTCATAGTGCGGTATGATTTTCGTATCGCTTTGGATTCAAACAAATATATTTTTATATAATTAATTTTTTCAATCTCATAGCTGTGCGAATTTGTAATATTTAAAGAGTGCCTGAAGCGCTTTTGCCGGCAGAACTACGATGATGCTTTTAAATCGTTGCTCCTAGCAAACACTGGAACACACGTTTAGAAGCGAGCTGTACAGGAGGTTGTAAATGGTGACATCGGAAATCGGGACAATTTATAATTGAACGTGTGAATAAGGATATCATGGACTCCTATATAAACACACACAACATACCCAAAGCAACACGCAATACAGTAAGATTAATGCTTAAAAAAATATCAAAATATGTATATACATACATACGTAAATATTCGTATAGATTCATAACTTACTGATTTATTTTTCCTTTTAGAAAACCGTAGACCTTTGGTTGCGGATATCTTTGCTCTATCTATACGGTGATTGGGATGGCAGCCATCGCTATAGCGTGACCTCAGCGTATTCGATATAACAAATAATAGTTGGATAGTGATTTTCGAACAAGTCGAGCTTTTTAATGAACGTACTCCATTTTCCAGTCACCAAATGTTCTTTCGTGTCCTAAAATATTGTTCATAGTTATTATCAAACGGAGGAAACAAGAAATTGTATTCGTTTTTAATTTAACTAAATATTAGTGGAACTAGAATGGTGGCAAAAATTTAAAATGCATCTCTAAAAAGAAATACCTGTATTTTGATTAAATCTTGATTTGCCAGATATTTTGTAAAAAGATTCTTTAAAAATAACATTTATTAAAACACAGTTGGTAAAAGTTCAATATATTATTAATAAAGTTTTTATTAATATGTTAATAAATTCATATATACAGTGGCGCTTACGTAAATAGCACACTTTTATTTATTACAATATTCACAATGTTTTACGTTACCCATTTGTTTCGTTTATTTTTCATAAAAATATAGTAGATTATATTTTATTAACCACATACATAAGTCAAAGTTTTAAACTTTGTGCACAATTCACAAAGATTAAACAAATTTCAAAAAAAAATTTTATAAAAATTTTCATCTTTTATCCGAATAGCAAAGGGTACTTCATAATCTGCTCCGACAGTAAGTCTACGTTAAACCAAAGAACGTAGATAACAAGAAGGGACAACTCGTTATAATTGTAGCGAAAGTTAGCAACAGGGGCGTGCCTTCTCTTTTGCCCTAGTACGTGTTTTGATTGGATAAAAAGGGAAGGCATGCCCCTGTTGCGCACTTTCGCTACAATTATAACGAGTTGTCCCTTCTTGTTATCTACGTTCTTTGGTTAAACGCAGTTCGGAATGTAAACAACTACGACAATACTATTTCGGAAATAAGAAGTATATGCATAAAAAACTGTAACAAAATCAGGCTCATGTGGGTTCCCGGACACAGAGGTATAAAAGGTAATGAATTCGCTGACAGTGACGCATTGGACACACACTCAACGCCTTGTATAACACATCACACTGCAAACAACAACGATATTCTCAAGGCCATAAGCAAACTACTAAATGCTCAAAGAGATATAAAGTGGCGTAACCATACTCATAGATACGCCCTGCTTAATCCACAAGCCGAAAGATCGGTATTTCCAGCCTTACTCACGCGGAAGGAAACCACAATACTCACTCGTCTGCGTTTGGATCACGCACGGCTTACACACGAGCACTTGCTGCGGGGTTTAGGACCCCCAGGTTGCCCTCTTTGCAGCAGCACATTATCCATAGATCATGTAGTAGATAACTGTAGTCAATTAGATTTTTTTAGAGGAAAATTGTTCGGCTCTACTGCACCAAGCTCCCTCTTATATATATTTAGCGTTGAAAATATTTCAAAATTTATAGATTTTTTTAATTCTTTTAATTTACTCCACCAGATATGAATGTATCCTGAGAAGCTTCCGATATTGTATAACGATGTAATCATTTAATCAAATAGTTATGTTTACATATAAGTTTATAACTCTCAACAGTTTGGCAAACGAGTCGAAGGCCCTAGCAGCTAGTACTCCTTTAGTATTTAAGTGTAATCATTGTATTATTATGCCTAAATTTAATAAATAAATAAAAACAAATGAACCTGAAATATTTATACCAAACCAAGAAATTACTCCAGGAGTAATAATCAGCAACACAATTACAAATTCACAACGTCTGTTAGTCCGAATACTAAACATAACAAATGAAAATATCACAATAAACAACCAAAACATTTTCTATGAAAAACTGTCCGACTAGGATATCCACGAAATATACCAAAGTAACTCAAGTAGTAGAAAAAAGTGGTATTAGAAAAACGCTCAATGAATTTTCGCAAAGATCATAAAAAGATATTAACTCAATTATGTTCAGAATATAGCGAGATATTTGGCATCGATTCAGAGCCAATAACAGCAAATAGTTTTTATAAGCAGCAAATACAACTTACAGATCCTACTCCCGTGTACATAAAAAATTATAGAATCCCGCACGCCCACAAATTAGAGGTAGAAAAACGAGTGAAAAAATTGGTAGAAGATAATATAGTCGAACCCGCTACATCAGCGTACAATAGTCCTTTACTTTTAGTTCCAAAAGAGTCACTGCCAAATTCAAGTGAAGAACGATGGAGGTTAGTCATTGACTACCGCCAAATTAACAAAAAACTAGTTGCAGATAAATTCCCTTTACCAAGAATTGATGATATTCATGACCAACTTGGAGGAGCAACATATTTTTCATGCTTAGATCTCATGTCAGGTTTCCATCAAATAGAATTAGATGAAAATTCCAGAGATATTTAGGGAGTTCACAAGGTGTTGTATACTGTCGTACTGTTGTATGTCATAAACTTTAAACGGCTAAAAGTATATTTAGGGAATTCGCAGGCTAACATAAAAGTTTTATTATGAAATTGCACACAATTAAAAAATAGTTGGTGGTGATTTCAAGTCCTCTAATCATTTATTTAGCCGTTAAAAACTTTACAACATACAACAATACGACAAGTACGACGCCTTGTGAACCACACAATTACTTAATTTTCCACAAATAGTGGCACCAAAATAACACCAAATTCTTTCCAAAGAATGATGACCTATGCATTTGCTGGCTTATCACCAGCACAAGCCTTTATCTATATGGACGATTTAGTCGTTTTAGGATGCTCTGAAAAGCACATGATTCAAAATCTAACCGATGTATTTGTTTTGTGTAGACAACACAACTTAAAACTCAGCCCAGAGAAGTGCACATATCTTTATCTTTATAATTAAAAAAGTTCCACGACAATCTAATCACTGGTGGACCCAGTGGTGTCCCGAGAACTAATGCAAAAATAAAACGTTATTACTATTGGCGATACCTGACTAAAGACATAAAAATATATATAAAGTCATGTGAGAATTGCCAAAAAGCAAAAATAACAAGACACATCAAACCACCCGCAGTAATAACACCAACACCAAATGCTGCGTTTGGAGTAATGTTTGTTGACACGGTTGGAGCTCTGCCTAAATCGCAGAGCGGTAACGAATACGCTGTTACAATTATTTGCGAACTAACCAAATACTTGATAACAGTTCCAGTTCCGAAAAAGGACGCAAAGACAATAGCAAAAGCAATTGTAGATTCCTTGATCTTAGTCTATGGCCCTATGAAGACACTCATAACGGACATGGGCACAGAATACAGGAATGAAATTTTAAATGAGATTTGCGAGCTATTCAAAATACAAAAAATTACATCCACCGCTTATCATTGTCAAGCACTAGGTACAGTAGAGCGTAGCCACCGCACTTTAAATGAGTACTTTGGCTCATATATTTCAGTGAAAAAGACGATTGGAACGAATGGTTGCGATATTTTACAGTAACACACAACTACCGCCGCTGATAAAAAAGAACCGATATATAATATAGATAACTACGCGAAAGAAATAAAATTTAGATTACAGATAGCGTGGGAAAGGGAAGACTTTTGTTACAGCAACAAAAAGAAAACGCAAAGAAATTAGTAGATATGAATTCAATAGATTATCAAATAAATATAGGAGATAAGGTAATTATTACAAAAGAAACAGACATAAGTTAGAAAATAAATATATAGGACCATAGAGTGTCATAGAAATAGACGTTAGGAATAACTATACAATAGAAGACAAAAATAAGAAAAGCCTTAGAGTACATAAAAGTAGATTAAAACTATTTAGCGCATAATTGTTCGCCAAATGAATGAATATCACTTTTTGAAAATACAGCTTGTCCTTTTCTCTAAAACATTTTTTATTATATAATCAGAATTTTAACTATTTTGTGTAAATAGAGATTTCAAAGACATATAATTATAATAAATTCAAAAAACAAAAAACCAAAAAAAAAATTAAATAAAGGTAATATTAAAATTTTGAAATTTTTATCATTTAGAATAATCTCATATATTATATGTATCTAAGCGTGATCACAACTGCAGTGTGCTCCCGCTTCCAAACGGGGAAGGTGTTATACGCTTACATAGTTGCAACATTAGTGGCGGACCTAGGTAGGGGAAATTGGGGAAATCCCCCCCCCCCCCCCCCCCAAGACTATGTAACATGTATTTTCATAATATTCAACTGAATATCGTGACATATCATTACAAGAATATATAATTGGGCAATTCACAAGGTGTCGTATTTGTCGTGTTTGTCGTGAAGTCATGATATTTCATGACAGTTGTAAAAATGTTGTTATTGTTTTGTGAAGAAAAATAACACATGACGATACAACTCTGCAACCTATGTTTATTCGGTGTTATGTGAGGTTAAGTGCTGAGATATAATAAATAATCGTAACAGGTGTTCACAGCCGTCGTGTTTTAACACAACTTTTGTTAGGAAAATATAACTTCACAACACCTTGTGAATTGCCCAAATAGGTTTGTCCCACAAGCTACTTGTAGAAAAACTCGGGCAAAGTTCAAACTGTGAGCGTATATCAAAGAAACTCGAAAACTTACTTGCGGAGCTCGTATATGTAACTCGAAGTGACTTCGAGAAGCTTGGGGAACAGACCTAATGAATGGAAGCTTTTGAAAATTTTAATTCACGGAAAAAGTGTGTAAAATTTCACTTCAGTTTTAAATTTTAGCTGTGTGCTAAGTTCAAAGTATTATGTTATTTAAGTAGGCCTATCAGTTTTTCGAATTCACCGAATTTTCAAAATTTTGAAATTATGTACTTAGTGTTAAATTTTTACTTTTTTTTTGTTATATTTTCGAATTTGTATTATTTTACACCGTTGAAAGTCACAGCAAGTTTAAATATTATGACAGGTTCAGAAAACAACGAAAATTCCAAAATTTTGAATTCTTATTTATAGGATAATTTCCAAAATTTAAAAAACTATCGAAATCTGGGAGATTCTAGAAATTTTGGTGAAATGAGAATTTTTTGAAATGTACAAATTTCTTGAGATTTTAGAAATGTTTATATTTTCCAAAATTTTGAGAATTTTATTTATCCTAAAATCCATCATAAATGTAAAAATGTGAAACATCACAAATTGTCGAAAAATTGTTATGTTCATGGTACTTGTGTGTAAAAAACAGAAAATTCTTAGAATTCTAAAACATATTAACATTTTTGAAAAATTCCAAAATTGTTCCACTTTTCAGAACTTTTTCAAAATTTAGTATCAATACAACAAAGTTTGAG